CCAACCTGGGCTGGTGATCTGTTTCACCCTAGATATACATGTTTAAATGCTGTTCTCTTGAAACATCCCACCCTTGCCTTCTCCCACAGAGTCCACAAGTCTGTTCTATACATCTGAGTCTCTTTTTCTTTTTTTGCATATAGGGTTATCGTTACCATCTTTCTAAATTCCATATATATGTGTTAGTATACTGTAATGGTCTTTATATTTCTGGCTTACTTCGCTCTGTATAATGGGCTCCAGTTTCATCCATCTCATTAGAACTGATTCAAATGAATTCTTTTTAATGGCTGAGTAATATTCCATGGTGTATATGTACCACAGCTTCCTCATCCATTCGTCTGCTGATGGGCATCTAGGTTGCTTCCATGTCCTGGCTATTATAAACAGTGCTGTGATGAACACTGGGGTGCACATGTCTCTTTCAGATCTGGTTTCCTCAGTGTGTATGCCTAGAAGTGGTATTGCTGGGTCATATGGCAGTTCTATTTCCAGCTTTTTAAGGAATCTCCACACTGTTTTCCATAGTGGCTGTACTAATTTGCATTCCCACCAACAGTGTAAGAGGGTTCCCTTTTCTCCACACCCTCTCCAGCATTTATTGCTTGTAGACTTTTGGATAGCAGCCATCCTGACTGGCGTGTAATGGTACCTCATTGTGGTTTTGATTTGCATTTCTCTAATAATGAGTGATGTTGAGCATCTTTTCATGTGTTTTTTTGCCATCCGTATGTCTTCCTTGGAGAAATGTCTGTTTAGTTCTTTGGCCCATTTTTTGATTGGGTCATTTATTTTTCTGGAGTTGAGCTGGAGGAGTTGCTTGTATATTTTTGAGATTAATCCTTTGTCTGTTGCTTCGTTTGCTATTATTTTCTCCCAATCTGAGGGCTGTCTTTTCACCTTGCTTATAGTTTCCTTTGTTGTGCAAAAGCTTTTAAGTTTCATTAGGTCCCATTTGTTTATTTTTGCTTTTGTTTCTAAAATCCTGGGATGTGGGTCATAGAGGATCCTGCTGTGATTGATGTCGGAGAGTGTTTCGCCTATGTTCTCCTCTAGGAGTTTTATAGTTTCTGGTCTTACATTTAGATCTTTAATCCATTTTGAGTTTATTTTTGTGTATGATGTTAGAAAGTGTTCTAGTTTCATTCTTTTACAAGTGGTGGACCAGTTTTCCCAGCACCACTTGTTAAAGAGGTTGTCTTTCTTCCATTGTATATCCTTGCCTCCTTTGTCAAAGATAAGGTGACCATAGGTTCGTGGATTTATCTCTGGGCTTTCTATTCTGTTCCATTGATCTATATTTCTGTCTTTGTGCCAGTACCATACTGTCTTGATGACTGTGGCTTTGTAGTATAGTCTGAAGTCAGGCAGGTTGATTCCTCCAGTTCCATTCTTGTTTCTCAAGATTACTTTGGCTATTCGAGGTTTTTTGTATTTCCATACAAATTGTGAAATTATTCGTTCTAGTTCTGTGAAAAATACCGTTGGTAGTTTGATAGGGATTGCATTGAATCTGTAGATTGCTTTGGGTAGTATAGCCATTTTGACAATATTGATTCTTCCAATCCATGAACACGGTATATTTCTCCATCTGTTTGTGTCCTCTTTGATTTCTTTCATCAGTGTTTTATAGTTTTCTATGTATAGGTCTTTTGTTTCTTTAGGTAGATATACTCCTAAGTATTTTATTCTTTTTGTTGCAATGGTGAATGGTATTGTTTCCTTAATTTCTCTTTCTGTTTTCTCATTGTTAGTGTATAGGAATGCAAGAGATTTCTGTGTGTTAATTTTTATCCTGCAACTTTACTGTATTCGTTGATTAGCTCTAGTAATTTTCTGGTAGAGTCTTTAGGGTTTTCTATGTAGAGGATCATGTCATCTGCAAACAGCGAGAGTTTCACTTCTTCTTTTCCTCTCTGGATTCCTTTTACTTCTTTTTCTGCCCTGATTGCTGTGGCCAACACTTCCAAAACTATGTTGAATAGTAGTGGTGAGAGTGGGCACCCTTGTCTGAAACAAGCGACCTTAAAGTGTACTTAGTGGGACTTAGTACCTTCACAGTGTTGTGTAACCATCACTTCCATCTAGTTCCAAACATTTGCATCACAACCAAAGGAAACCCTGCACTCACTGAGCAGTCACTGTCCATCTATCCACCACCATCAGCCCTCCTGACACTGTTGCCACTGGTCTGCTTTCTGTGTCTATGGATTTGGCTATTTTGGATGTCTCATATTCCATCTTTCCCACAGGATTACTGGTTCTGGGAGCTCTTGAGTCAACCCTGATTTACAAAGTGTTCACAGGCATCAACATTTTGGTTCTCAGCTTCATCATCGTCTCTGGCTTCATTAAGGGAGACCTGCACAACTGGAAGCTCATGGAACAGGACTACACATTGAACACGCCTGCATCCAGTGGCACCTCTAGGTTAGGAGGGTTTTCTTGTCCATAGTGACACTTGTGTGATGGAGGGTGCAAGTCTGCAAATCTTTTGGGGACTAAAAAGTGGCAACCTACTCCAGGATTCTTGCCTGGAGAATCCCATGGACAGAGGAGCCTGGCAGGCTTCAGCCCATAGGGTTGAAAGAGTCGGTCATGATTTATTGACTAAACCACCACCAAACAGACCTGGGCTGATGGATCTAAGTGATGGGGGTCCTGGATCCCAGCACTTGTGGTATGAAGGGAAGAGTCCAGTGAAGATGGCTGAACTCACCTCACCCATGTTCTTCCTCATTGCTTCTCTCACCATAGGTTGGGTCCTCTGGGTTCTGGAGGGTTTGCACCTTTTGGCTTTGATGGAATTCTCCAGGGAGCAGCTATGTGTTTCTACATGTTTATTGGTTTTGATGCCATTGTCACTAAAGGTAATATAGTCACTGTGCTTCTCCTCAGGGGTTTGGCCACAGATTAGGCTGCCCTTGGGCATAGGAGTCGGAAGAAGTTTAGGCTGCTTTTGATGGTGCAAGAGGAAAGGGAATACTGTGCTTTCACTCACTGTGTTTTCCTAACCTAGTACATCTATGCATCCTGCAGGGGAAGAAGCCCTAAATCCTCAATGGTCCATCCCCGTGAGCACCATGATCACGATCATCATCTGCTTTTTGGCATGCTTTGGTGTCGCAGCGGCACTCACTCTCATGGTGCCCTACTACCAGATTCATCCTGACAGCCCCTTGCCACAGGCTTTACTCCACGTTGGGTGGGGCCCTGCCAGATATGTCGTGGCTGTTGGCACCCTCTGTGCTCTTACATCCAGGTCATTGTCTTGGTTTTCTCCCCATTGACTGTCAGATGCTTGGATATCCCAGTCCTTGGGATTGAGAGACAAGAGGGAAGAACACCTTGACCCAAGTAGACTAGAGCATGGAAGCCCCGGTCTTTCCTTCCTGTCTCTCCATGTCCTCATATACGTTTCCATTTTCTTTTCCAGTCTCCTCAGTGATATGTTCCCCATGCCTCGGGTGATGTACGTGATGGCAGAGGATGGACTCCTTTTTCGGGGACTTGCCCAGATCCATGCCCACACAGGCACCCCTGTCATGGCCATCATGTCTTCTGGAACCCTTGCAGGTGAATAAACAAAACCCACCCCTTGTTTGATCATTTCCTTACCTTTGATATTTCTGGCTGTTTCTCACTCCCTTCCCTGCCTTCTCTGTGCCCTCATCCTAGCGGTCATGGCGTTACTCTTCAAGTTCAGCGATCTGGTGGACCTCCTATCAATCGGGACCCTGCTTGCTTACTCTCTGGTGTCTCTCTCTGTCCTTGCCCTCAGGTGAGACTCTGCTACACCTTGGCTGGGGGTCGTGGACTCAAGGGGAGCTAAGATTCTTCTAGCTTCATGTCCTGCTCTGCTGAAGTCAGGAAAGAGTTGGATTAAGCTATCTGATATTAGATGAGTATAGGGGCTGCTGTTAATCCTGCCTTAATATCCTCTCACTCAGGTACCAGCCAGATCAGAATTTCAGCAAGAAGGAGAAAACAGAGGAGGAAATTGAGATGAAGCCTAAAGTTGAAAAAAAAACTGTTCAGAACCTGTCTCTGAAGCAGGAAACTCAAACATTCTGAAGAGTCTGTGGTTCCCTACCAGCACCATCCCCACCCAGAAATCTGGCCAGATTGTGTATGCATGTGCCTTCTTGCTTGGTGAGCAGTGGGACTTCTCTTTGGTGGTATTCTGAAATTGCCAGGATGGGTAAGAGTGTATATTTGTCTGTTGAGGGGTCTTGGAGATATGATGGCCCTTCCTGGGGTGGGCAGCCTGGGGAGGGGGGTGACCCGAGGTCCTGACGTCTTTGTCTTCTGGGTCCACCCTGTTCTCCTCCTCCTTGACCCCTGCAGTTCTCCTGCTGACCATCCTGAGCCTGATCCTGGCCCAGGGGCCCAGCCAGGTGCTCTCTGGAGACCCCGTGCTCACAGCAGTGGCTATCCTGCTGCTGCTGCTCATCACTGGGGTCACGGTCATCATCTGGAGGCAGCCCCAGGACCCCTCTCCTCTTCCGTTCAGGGTAGGTGGGGGACTTCCCTGGTGGTCCAGTGGTTAAGAATTCACCTTGCAATGCAGAGGATGCAGGTTAGATTCCTGGAGGGGGAACAAATATCCCACATGCTGCAGGGCAACTAAGCCCATGCCCCACAACTAGAGAAGCCCTCAGGCCACAACTCAGTTCTGATGCAGCCAAATTAATTAATTAATTAATTAATTAATTAATTTTTAAAAAGTAGGTGGCCTTATGTGCCCAAACTATCCAACTTGAGTGAATGTAGTCTACCTGCTTTGAGGTTTAAACCTCCTTTGCTGAACGTGGGAAGATGGGAAATTGCTCAAACCAATGGACCCTTCCCTGATCCACACTCAGTGCTTCACATGCCCAGTTTCAGTAGGTACTGAACACACAGCTTCAATAGGACTGGAGTCTTCCTGGCCACATGTGGGTTGGGGGCCCCTTTTCTGACATCGGCTGTGTTCAGGGGTGAACTGACTTTGCCCACAGGTCCCTGCTCTGCCCGTCCTCCCACTGGTGAGCATCTTTGTGAACCTTTACTTGATGATGCAGATGACTTCTGGGTCCTGGATCCAATTCGGTGTCTGGAATGCCATTGGTAAGTGATTTTCTTGGATTAAGAGACCTCTCAGTTGACTGATCCCCATCCTCTTCCTAGCACCACTCCCCTATTCTGTGTCAGACACCCTCATAGGAGACCTACTGAGCAAGTGTAGGGTTCCCTGGTGTCTCAGTGGTGAAGAATTCACCTGCCAGTGCAGGAAACATAAGAGCATGGGTTCGATCCCTGGGCCAGGGGGATCCCCTGGAGGAGGAAATAGCAACCCACCCCAGTATTCTTGACTGGAGAATCCCATGGACAGAGGAGCCTGGAGGGCTATGGTCCGTGGGGTCACGAAAGAATCAGTCACTACTGAGGGACTGAGCATGCACATGAGCGTGTGTGTACACAAGTGTGTATCAGTAAGGAGAGCACCTACTTTCCCTTCTCATCATCTCATTTCCCTACTAGGATTTGCCATATACTTTGGCTATGGGATCCGACATAGCCTGGAGCAGAACTAGAAGCAACAGCTTCTACCTTCCAAACTCTTCACCCAAGCATCCCTTCTGCTGAATCATCTTAACCACAGGACATAGATGCTGTGTGGAATCCCTCCATACACTAGAGGAATCTTCTGGTTCAAGGGGCACTTTGAGCCTCTATGCACTATGAAGGTGCAATGCATTTAGGGACCTATATTTATTGCCAGTGGACAAATGACTTACATGCTGAATAATTTTTAAGTATTCTTTTCAGACCACAATACCCATATTAAAAAGGGTATGTTTTATAAGTGTGCAGCAAGATGATATTTCACAAAGAATGTATAACAATGTAAGCAGCTACTGGAGGAAGAAATAAAACATTAACCTGCACATACAAAGCTCCTCCTCATGCTTCTTTTTAGCAAAAATGCAGAGATGACTGGGGAGGAAAGACAGGCAACTGTATACTATGCCCAGTGCTGCACTTGAAATATTAGGACAGAGGTAAGTTGGAAGTAAAAGGAAGGGAACAGATACACTGTGCAAACAGTAACACAAAAAGCTAAGACAGCTATATTACCTTCAGACAAAGTAGACTTTAAGAAAAGGAGACGAATAACAGATAAAGTGGATCATGTCATCATGGTAAAATGGTCATTTTTATTTTTTCCCCCAGCTTTATGGAGGCATAGTGTACTCTTTTGTAAATGACTATTTCTCTTTACTTTTCTATCACAGACTCTTGGAGTTACACAATAGAGTTGATGATGGAAAGTTCTTAATTGGGGGAAAAATACACACCTGCATTGTCAGAGGTGAAGGAAAGAAGTAGTAAGTAGTGATTTATTGATAAATGATTACAACTGGGTGGAACTAAAAGACAGGAAATGAAACTGGATAGACACGTTAAGGAGTTATTGCAGAACAGAGTGCCTGACATTGAGATTATGCACATTCAAGATATTGATAATAATGAAGTAGAGGGTTGTTTGTGGGGATGAGCAACTGCTCTAGAGTAAATGAGGGATACAGGTCAATAAACTGAGTAGCAAGGTATTAGATGAGTAAAAATACAGATGGAGGTGGGCCAACAGAATTAGGAACATCACTACCTTGCCAGTTCTCATGACAGTACAGGCTTAGGAAGAAATTAATGGAGATTGAAGCTGTCAAGTAGAACTTTGTCTGAAGGGGTTGACATCACCTGATTGCTGTTCTTCACTTACTGCTGTGGGCCAACCAGATATCCTGTGCTACCAATATGCTGTAACATGCAACAGAACACCACCCATAAAAGAGCCTTGATGAGAAATTGAATCAACCCTTCCAGGTTCTTCTGGTCGGTCTAAGGATTAAATTGACATGAGATAGCTTAACGGGACAAAAATCAAGTGATAGCTCAATAATGTGATGAAGGTGAAAGAGGGAAGTGAAAAAGCTGCCTTACAACTCAACATTAAAAAAAACAAAGATCATGGCATCCAGTCCCATCACTTCATGGCGAATAGATAGGGAAACAATGGAAACAGTGGCAGATTTTATTTTCTTGGGCTCCAAAATGCAGATAGTGACTTCAGCCATGAAATTGAAAGACACTTGCTCCTTGGAAGAAAAGCTATGATAAGGCTTCACAGTGAATTAAAAAACAGACAAATCTCGAAACATCCCACCCTCACCTTCTCCCACAGAGTCCAAAATTCTGTTCTGTACATCTGTGTCTCTTTTTCTGTTTTGTGTATAGGGTTATCATATATGCATTAGTATATAGTATATATATATATGCATTAGTATATGCATTAGATTAGTATATATGCATTAGTATACTGTATTGGTCTTTATCTTTCTGGATTACTTCACTCTGTATAATGGGCTCCAGTTTCATCCATCTCACTGGGAAGACCCAGAGGAATCGGGTGGAGAGGGAGGTGGGAGGGGGGATCGGGATAGGGAATACTTATAAATCCATGGCTGATTCATGTCAATGTATGACAAAAACCACTACAATATTGTAAAATAATTCGCCTCCAACTAATAAAAATAAATGAAAACAACAACAACAACAACAGAGACATCACTTTGCCAACAAAGGTCCATATAGTCCAAGCTATGGTTTTTCCAGTAGTCATGCATGGATATAAGAATTGGACTATAAAGAAAACTGAGCACTGAAGAATTGATGCTTTTGACCTGTGGTGTTGGAGAAGACGCTTGAGAGTCCTTTGGACTGCAAGGAGATCCAGCCAATCCACCCTGAAGGAAATCAGTCCTGAATATTCATTGGAAGGACTGATGCTGAAGCTGAAACTCCAATACTTTGGCCACGTGATGGGAAGAGCCAACTCATTGGAAATGACCTTGATGCTGGGGAAGATCAAGGGCAGGAGGAAAGGGGGACAACAGAGGATGAGATGGTTGGATGTCATCACCAACTCAATGGTCATGAGTTTGAGCAAACTCTGGGAGTTGGTGATGGACAGGGAAGCCTGGTGAGCTGCAGTCCACAAACTGAGCGACTGAATGACAATACAGGTGAGAGACCAAAGAAAACTGAGCAACTTGCCAGAATAACCAAATCCTTTCCCTTCCATATCGTTTTCAGTTAAAGACTAAAGAGAGTGTTGGGGGTAGTGGTTTGAGACTTGAAAGAGAAGGAAGGCCATTCACATGAAGATGGTAAACAAATGGTCGGTAGACTCATGTTAGCCAGGCCAGGTAGAGAAAATGAGACAAAGAGGGGACTCGGATCTGCAAGTCTCAGTGGGTTTCCTGATAACTTTTAAAACATTTCCTTGCATGCAGAGATGTTTGCCTTAGTAATTTTAGTCATTTTAATTACATGTATTAATCAGAATTCTTAACCCTTAGAAACTTTAATTTCTACTGAGAAACAAGAAGTAAACAATTGTGAACTACTTGTTATACCAGTATTTTTTTTAAATTGAAGTATCTCCAACTAAAATGAAATAAGTTTCTAAATAAAAAAAAATGCTGTCAACATAAAAAAACAAAGTATCATTTACAATATAACATTCATCTCAAATATACAGCACAGTGACTTGGTAGTTTTACGGATGATACTCCAGTAGAAGTTATATAAGATAATGGCTATAATTCCCTGTGCTCCAAACATATCCTTACTGGTTATGTATTCAGTTCAGTCACTCAGTTGTGTCTGACTCTTTGTGACCCCACGGACTGCAGCATGCCAGGCCTCCTGTCCATCACCAACACTCAGAGCTTACTCAAACTCATGTTCATCGAGTCAGTGATGCCATCCAACCATCTCCTTTTCTGTCATACCCTTCTCCTCCTAACTTGTATCTCTTAATCCCATACCCCCAATGTGCCCCTTCCCCCTTTCCTCTCTTCACAGATGGCCACTTATAAGTTTTCTGAATTGGTGAGGCTGTTTCTGTTTTGCTACATGTATTCATTTATGTTATTTTTTCAGATTCTACACATAATATTACACAACATCTTAAAAATACTGAAATCACTAGGCTGTACACCTAAAAGTAATATAAACCAAGTCTATTTGAATAAATAAACAATGAGTTAGACATCCACTCCAGCAGAAAGGCACCTCTTTGGGTGTGGGGGACACAGCGCCATCTGCCCCAGGAGCCCTGGAGGAGTCTTGTCCGCCTGTGTGTCCGGGTCACAGGCCGACAGACCTTGCTATGGGCTGCAGAAACTGCAGAGCCAGGGAACCTGCCCAGGCCCCTATGGGGGTGATGCTGCCAGTGGTGGTGGTGGTCGTGGTGATGGTGGTCGTGGGAACCCAGACAGTACTGACCTAGAGATTCCATGCAAGGGAGGGGATTCGCAGAGGGTCAACCTTTACTCAGAGAGGGCAATGGCACCCCACTCCAGTACTCTTGCCTAGAAAATCCCATGGATGAACGAGCCTGGTTGACTGCAGTCCATGGGGTCGCTAAGTCCCTTTCACTTTCCACTTTCATGCATTGGAGAAGGAAATGGCAACCCACTCCAGTGTTCTTGCATGGAGAATCCCAGGGATGGGGAGCCTGGAGGGCTGCCATCTATAGGGTCGCACAGATTGGACACGACTGAAGCGACTTATCAGCAGCAGCAGCAGCAACCTTCACTAGGGGCTTCCCCCTTGGTTCAGCAGTAGAGAACTCACCTGCCAATGCAGGAGACATAGGAGTCACGGGTTTGATACCTCGGTTGGGAAGATCTCCTGGAGAAGGACATGGCAACCCACTCAAGGATTCTTGCCTGGAGAATCCCATGGACAGAGGAGCCTGGTGGGCTTGGGTCCATGGGGTCACAAGCACTCGGACAAGACTGAAGAGACTGATTACGCATGCAGCCGTCACTGAGTGGGCAAGGATTCTGGCATTTAAAAAAAAAAAAAAGGAGTCTGATCAAGGCTCACGTAGCAGACGGTTTCCCCTCCCCTTCACAAGGAAACATCCCATGGGGTTGATCTCCCACCACAGAAAAAGCTGCCCGAGTTCTGCAGACATCCCTGGAGACATCTGTTTCTCTCCAGCAGCACCAGAGACCTGAGGAGGGACCCCCATGACGAGGGAGAGGAAGGGT